AATTACTTAATACATTTGTAGTAATTACTTAGTACATTTGTAGTAATTACTTAGTACATTTGTAGAAATTACTTAGTACATTTGTAGTAATTACTAGTACATTTGTAGTAATTACTTAGTACATTTGTAGTTATTACTTAGTACATTTGTAGTAACTTTATTTAAGCCTTTCCATATCTGAATATATCTTAGTTTTGGTCCTATCTATGCATGGTGTAAACATGTAAGTTTTGCTTGATAAAAAATGTTGCTTGACATGAAACAAATATTTGAACATTATATGAAACAATAATTTGGAAGTCTCAATTTTCAGAGAATCACAAAAATCATCATGAAATATTTTCCAAACAAATTTTAATACATTGACAGACAACAGAGACAGATAGACTGTCACTGAAGGAAGGTACAACTGTAACAATAAAAAATCGGCCCCTTAGAACTTGACTTTAAATTTGAAATAGTTTTTTCAAAATGGCGGCATTGGTGGCCATATTGAATTTCTGATGGACCCGAAAAATAACAACACTTGGTCAGGGAGATGTCAGTAACATTCCCGGGAAATATAAATGAAATCCCTTTGACAGTATTTCAGCTTAAGTTGAAAAAGTAAAATGTTAACGGACGACAGACGACACACGACGGACGGGGACGGATAGCAATAGGTCACTTGGGCTAAAGCTCAGGTGACCTAAAAACATGTGGGACAGCAATAATTAGTTACCAAATCACAGTGTGATTGGAATCACTACACAGAAACTAAAATCACAGTGTGTTTGGAATCACTACACAGAAACTAAAATCACACAAATCAGTTGTGTACAATTCCACTAACAACAGATTTAGCTAATGTTTAAATTTTGCTGAGGCCAAACAAAATTTCAAAAGAATGAATTTGATGAGTATCTCATTTTAAAAACTTGTATTGATATTACGTCTGCTGGAAAAATAGATCCGAAAAAGTCTCTTGCTTCTGGGTACCTACTGGCAAATCAATTTAACAACCTAAAAGCATCAATATTTGTCAACTCCAGCCAGCACTCAAAATTATGTTAGCCCCCCTCCAAATGTAAAAACATAATTTAAATCTTTAGTATAATTGTTTACTTATATAGATATACAGAGGAGCAGATTGAAAAGATATTTTTAAAAGCCTATACAACCTATGCGTTTGAAGATTTCATTTTACAAATTTTGCATACTCCCTAGCCGTTTGTAAATCAGGTAAGAAGAGGACATTTTTATTTTGACTTAATTAATTGCATTTATCTTTCACCTTTGATCTAACTATTCAAGACATGTTTGATTTATTCAATATGATATATACATACTCTATCTATATAAACTTCGAAACAGAATAAAAAAAATCTTTCTTTAAAAGCTCAGTATCAGTACGGAGAGAAGGTTATCTCCCCTACACCACACAGAGAACTTACATTGTGAATCAAATGCCATGAAGGTATGTCTGATCTCTCCATCTTGGTCAGCCTTCGACATCTTTTCTGTCATGGCAACCATGAACATAGGAAGATTCAACCCTAAAACAGTCCATTACTATTAAAACCACAAAAATCTATGAGTATGTTTGTATCTCCATGTTTTGAAACAAATACCTGTTATATTTATTTAGCTGAGTTTAGATTTTATACCTATTCTTCAGTACCTCTACTTAAACTTTCCACAAACAAAATGTCATGTTATTTAATAGCTGGATAGCAATGATATTCATATTTAATTACTGGGATTCCATATATAGAAATATCACTTCTTTTAATTTTAATAGTATCCATAGACTCACCTGTGCTATCTCCATAGCTTTCCATCAAATGGTCTGCTTCAAGCTAGAAAATAAAACAGTATTGTTTAAGAGCTCTGATCAAATTATTTCATACATGTGCTCAGATCAGCATACATGCTTTATACATAAAAGATCCTAACTTTTCTAATAGTTTTATTTATGTAAACATATTACAGTGTTATAATGGAATATTGTAGTAATATAAATAAACTCTCAATTGTTATATTAACTATAATAAATAAATATCATACAGTGTAACACTGAAAGTTCTAGTAATGTAAACATATTAGTGTAAGGTGACCAGAGTACCAGAGCATTTTTTACTGTTCACACAACAATGTATATGTTTTCCTATGCTTTTCATGGTGTAAGATATTTTGCTATAGAAGTAGTGTATTCTGTATTCATACTGCATGTAGTTCCACTTCATAGTTGATTTGATCCTAAATTTTCATATTTACCAGTAAACAATATTTTTTCTAATAATGTAAATAAATAGAAAATGATGTTTAAAGAATAACCCTTGTGCTACACTCAGCAGAAAATAATAGTTCATTTTACCTCTGTGAATACTTGTTTTATAAAAAGTTCAATATTCTTTCAATAACTTTAATTAACTAGAAATTATTTTTATCTTTGATATCCAAAGGTGAAATGTGGCTCCCTAACTATAATTTGGTGAAAAGCTGTTCTAACTTTGGTAATACTCTATTTAATGGTGTAAGATAAACTATCTGTTTTTAAAATAAATTAACCAAGTGACCATATAAACTTGATCTTTGACCTTAATCATTTTCCTTTTACCAGCCAGTGGTAGGGGTATACAATTAAAATAAGATCCGTCAATCATTTGATTAAATTTGAAGAATAAATACTTCCATAACAAAGTTATTACCTTGGAGGGTTTGTATCCAAATACTTCTGCTACAGCTATCTTCAGGTCTTCTCTGCTTAAAAACCCTTTGCCACCAACATCTACCTGATGGAAAACCTGAAAAATAATACAACAAAAGATCAGTAGGATTATACAGGAATATCCATTCCTATTCAATCATCTATACACAATTCAATCCTATGAGTTTCCACAAAATCAATGGTGCTCCGATTATAATGCCAATAATCAGCCATATCAGATATCAAGTCATTTTACTTAAATCCTTGTAGTGCCCTCCCCTTACGAAAATCCTGCATCTGCCCCAGTCCAGTGCTAACAAACCAATAACAAAACCAGTGTTTTTCCTGCCAGAAAACAAAAAATATTAATTCAAAACAAAAAATCAAATACTTCTTCATTTTTCTACAAACAGAACACAATTTCAAGTCCTGAATTTTCTTATAAACATATCTTTTATACATAATACTGTTTGCTGGAAACTTTTTTCATGCTTTTAAACTTAGTGATGGGTATTCAGGTAAAAATCATAATTGATAATCGGTTTATTAACAGAGGTAGTAAACTAATTGATGATCAATTTATAAATCTATAGGACTGAATTACGAAATAAAATTAAAACATTACTGTTACATCAATGCATTATAAGTTGTAAACTATATACATAAGATTTTGTTCTTTTACGATAAATGGATTTCAAGCAACTTTCTATGCAGTTTTGTTAATCATATAGCAAAGAGCTTAAGAATAAATGACTTTCAACGCATAATTCACATTGACACTTTGATTTCAATAATGAACCAATTATATGAATTCCCATGTCAGGTAGAACGACATCCGCACCAGAAAAGATTACATTCGAATTTGAAATAAGAAGAGAGGTAGAGCTGATGGTAAATAGATAACTTGTTAAAAATACAATCATAATATGAGTTAAAGGTGGTCTTTATGACCATGCCAGGGGGCATACAATTTAACTAATATTCAACTTTATAATGTATACCAGTAAAACAATTTCTGTAAGTATTTGGCATTAAATATAACATATTGAATATAATATACATTACGAACTGTTTTATAAACAACACCAATCATGGTAATAATGCTACAAAATATATATGTACAGCAAGTAGGATAGGTAAATCTAACTGCTCCCTTCAATATAACACATAAACACGTTTATATTTACAGACGACAGAAGTCGTTTTTCTTCTTTATTTAAGTCCTTCGGCATTGTTCTGTAGCCATATTGACCGAGGTCAAATCCAGTCCGGCCACTCATCACCAACGATGGCTTTCATTGTTCATCTCCACGAAAATATTTCTTAAGGCATTACACCCTGAAGCTGTTGTGGTCAATTTTCCTGACAGGTCCTTGCAAAGATGCAAGGAAATTCCTTGGGTATCCCCGGAAGTGATTTTTCATTGGCTGATTGTAGTCATGTGACTTAGGTAATTAACAGCCAGTCGGATGGGAATAAATTTCAATATGGCTACATAGATGAAGTTACTCCGTTCGTCTGTGGATTATTTACGAACTATTGGCCACAACTTTGGTCCAATATGTCGAGTCACACTGCCAGAACAACAAGATACAGCACAAGAAGGCTTCGGAAACGACCAGTTGTGAAACAAGCGTCTACAAGACGCCAGAATGAGGGTAAGTTTTGTTGAGGTCATTGTGTATAACAGCAAGTGTAACGTTATCTGCAAACCTATAAATATATTAAACATGGCATACACAAAGAGATAAATGCCAGACGCCGCTTAGAAGAAACCATGAACTAAAGTTTGTTATCGACGATCCAATAGTTTAAAATATGCATAGTTTGCCTCAAATAACTTCAGTAATCGACCAAATATTGATTCAGAAGTCGAGATAAACACGTCGAGATTCAATCAAATCGATGGCAACGAAATTATCACCATTCTCCATTATAACACTAGCCATATCGCTCTTAAAATGTATTCTGTTCGTTTGTTTTTTCAGGCAGGATACAATTACTTATGTATAACCTATTTCCTATAATATTCCGATAGGGTTAAATACATTGCATATTTATAAGTTATTTTCCGTAGATCAATATTATTGTTCCAACCAATTTAAAGATCCACCTAATTCCTTTTCACATAAAACTAGTAAATATTTAATAAAAAAAAAAAAGTGGTTTGCACTAGTCATTCATTGCAAATAGTACTCTCACCATTGCACAACATATTTAATGACCACTTTATTTAATTATTTTATATGAATGAAGTCCTATTAAATGTAAAACTATAAGCAGATTTAAACATATTCAATATTGGGAACAAGATCAAACATTTTTTTAAATAAAAATTCAGACAAATTATGATTATTTTTCATAGCAAATAGTAACTTTTGAAGCTATATACATAGAATCACCAGTGGATGTTGATATATTCCATGTGTTTTTTTATCAATATATATATGCAAGTAAACCTCATTGGGTCTTACAATTGTCAGTCTGTGTTTAAAAAGATTCCATTTTCTGCAAATGAATTTTAAAAAGAACGTTATGAATTTAAAGTTAATTTCATCCCAGTTTACTAAGACATTTTTACTTAAATTTCTAAAATGACTAACTCAGTTTTGCAAGACAGTCATGTATATATATGGAACAGGGGAGGAAAACTACACAGCCAAACCAGGATTTTAACCCGGGACTCTCCTAACTTTAGATGGGCGCTCTACCAATTGAGCTACCTGGTCACAAAAGATCGACCCAGTCCAGATCCGCTACATTCCTCCCTTCTTTTTTAAGTAATTGCCCTCGAAGACAACTATTTACAAACCAGGTTCCAGTATCCCATTGCCCAGCGTACACCCAATGCTTGAAAAAAGGGTTGGTCAAAGGCAGCACTGTAACAGGAGAGAGAAAAAATGCACAGCCAGACTAGGGTTCGAACCCAGGACGCTCGAAACTCTGGACAAATGCTTTTAACGATTGAGCTACCTGAACGCTGACAATTGACCCAGTCCATTTACACTACGTAGACCTAGATAGGGTTCAATTCATTTTATTCCAAAAGCAGTACATCTTATAGGAGTCAATATTGCCTAGTCATTAAAGGTCAACAGACATTTGATACAGACCAATTATATATTACAAACGAGTAGATTATGAAAAGTCATACCGGTCCAAACCAGGGTTGAAACAGGTAATTTGGTTTGCTATGATGTATACCTGTTGTTTGTTCAAATTGATTCTAATTTGTTACATTTTCTTACAAACTGGAACTTTTAACAAACCCTTGTAACAAAAGCTGTATATGCATGACAAGCACTAGTGTATACCTGAAGCTAGGTTTTAAAAAGTGTTTTCCTCAGGGGCATGAAAATTGATAATGCATGTATAATCTAGAGGTCTTCTGTGCTGTTGCCTAGTTGTAATCTCTGTAGCAGACTGCATTACATGGAGCAGAGACTGCGTTTAAAACACCCTTTTCAATGTTTTGATAGATTAAAATGGTAATTTAACATTTTGCACTTTAATGTTTCAGAAAATGCCAACATACAGAACACAGACAATGAAGATGACTCAAGCAGTAAGCCATGTCATATGCGATACAACCTAAGAAAACGCCAACCAGAGGGCAGTACTAGTCCATACACTGGAGGGCGAAGTCACAGTCTCTCCGAGTCCTGCACACCAGCTAAGAGGAGGCGCAAATCATCCACTCGCTCTGTTGCTCCATACCTGAAAGGTATATTAATTGAAAAAACGCAATTTAAACTGCAAGAATTTATCATCCTTGTGTGCAGGTTCTGGCAACAATTAGACTTTAAAAACAATGTCAAGCAATTAGTTGAATTTGATAATCAACTCCATTTACAATTTCAAATTTGATGATGTTAACTTTTTTGGACCCAGAATCTGTTTCAAAACATATTATGATTTAAATATCTGAACAGATTTTGTAAGTATTCCAATTTGAAATAGCACCTAAAATAAACTTCAAAATTTATCATTTGTTAAAGACGAGATGTCATTCTTAATAACATCATGATTATTGACCCTGACTGATCATGGCGACAATACATTGCAGTCACCTCACCTCACCTATCCTCTTCATGCCGGTCGGCATTTAAGGCCCACAATACATTACAGTATTGATTGTTAATGGGTTTAGCTCAATTAAACTAGAATGGAGATTACTCAGCTGATTTGAGATTTAAATCCTGATTATTCTGTTTCAAATTTTGTCACCAGTAAAACTCTTTGTTGCAGTATAATCATAATATACTGCTAAAAATCTTTCAACACTAGGTTTATCCCCTAATCGTACTGATAAACTGATAAAACCGGTGCCTGATCATTTAATACATAAACCATGTTATTGTTTTGTTTAATTGTACTTACGCAAAACTTTTCATCTAAAATCTATGAGAAGTGTATTAATATTTTCCTCAGGACATTCATATAAATGTACAATATACTTTATTTTTTTAATAGGATGCCTGGTTGGAGCACACTATCTTCAACAGGACTTACCAGATGAAGTACTGCTGAAGATCTTTAGTTACCTGTTGGAATTTGACCTTTGTAGAATTGCATGTGTTTGCAAACGTTTTCGTATCATTGCAAATGACACAGAACTTTGGTGAGTTCAAATTATTTTTGCAACTTTAGAAAGAGTTTTATTGTTCTTTTAATGATTCATGTGATCGAAAAAATAACATTTCTATGCTTAATATAGAATTTCAGTTGTTTCTAAATTTTTCGTTAATTTTTACATTGACTTTTCCAGTTCAATCAGAATTTGTTTTGTTCAATATTATACATTTAATTTTAATAAAACGTGTTATAAGCTTATATTGACCCGTGTAATCTGTTTCCATTTTTCCAGGAAAGATATTTATCAGGATATATTTGAGTATGATTTCCCACTCATGCATCCAGAACCAAGGGTTTTTCGATTTGTACAACCACACGAGAATGAATATGAAAATCCATGGAAAGAAAGCTTTAAACATCTGGTAAAGGACAAATTTTTAACCATATTTTGTATGTCTGAACTAAAAGATAATATAAACGAGATTTGTTTGAAAATTTAATCCATATGCTTGACCTGTACATGTGGGATTTAAAATCATGACTTACATAAAAACCTTTTTGTTGGTCAATTATCATGAAATCATTTATTGACTTCTGATACAAAAATTGCATTATCCATTTGAGAAGAAAGAATTGTCATATAGAGTAATTGTTAAGTTTCCATGGAAATTTAAAGTATTATAAATTTATTCATTTGACCTCTTTATGTTTCTTTGTAACAGTATAAAGGAATCCATGTTAGACCTGGTTTTCAAGAAATGTACATGGACCACTCACGTGGAAGGAGACTTCGGGGCAGGGACATGACAGTAAGTTCTAGTTTCCTCTAAAGGGAAAAGGCCACCAAGAAAAAAGCCAGTATGGCAAAAGAAATGGCTGCATTAAGCATGCATGTTTTTGAATATTTCTTAAGAATCAGATATTGTATCCAGAAATGGATATTTATTACACTTCTTATAAAAGAATTAAGATAACAAATATCAAATGGAAATGTTAAAGTCATTTCAAACAGGTTTTGATATTGCAGTGAAAAATACATTTTTTGCAATACTGTCTTGACTCATTTTTATCAAATTTTCCTAAAGAAAAATTCATTCTTTTCGTGTAGACATATTGGTAAATTTACTGTATAAATTTCTTGAATTGATAAATATTTTAAGAAAAATAATTTCTGACATTCAATTTAATGCACACAATTTTTCTCAAATGAAAGTTATTTTAAGAAACTATTTTTAAATAATGGATAAAATGAAAACAAACTGAAATCTTCAGGATCATTTCCTTGTCTAGATCTTAAGATTTCAATGGTAGAGTGGTTTTTTGTGTATTTCCCACTATATATCACCTTTCTTTCACTGTTTCATTTTGTTTACTTTGCAGTGCTTTGAGACAATTGAGCAGGCCTACAGTTTTGTTGATGCTGAGGAGATTGAGAGTCCGTTGATTCTGGTCCACTCTGGTCTATACCAGGGGGAGTACCTATTTGTGGACACGAATGTCTCCATTATAGGAGCAGGTATACTAATTACCTCTATACACTAAATCATAACAACTTGTATACTCATTGTTATATTTACGGTTAAAACTATAATTATAATATACCATTGTTCTTTATATTACGCATTAGTTACCTTGTTAGTTTGCAAACTTTTGTTATTTCGTAGCACCTGGAAATGTGATAGACCATGTGGTGATAGAGAGAGAAAGTGAATCCACCGTGATGTTTGTAGAAGGAGCCAAGGAAGCTTATCTGGGATATGTTACGCTGCGTGTAAGGAGCTTTTTCATAATATATACAATGAAAGTAAATAAGTAACGAATAATTGCAATCTTCTTTGATAGAAAATAAAAATTTAATTTAATACAATACTCTGCTTTTAAAGTAGTCATTATTTCGGACAAGAATATTATCAGATCTGCATCATAATTTCCAGACATTGACTTGCAGAACAATGCCTATGTGTATACAATGAGTATCATGTGACTTGTATGATCTATTTAGAATGTGACTTGTATGATCTATTTAGTATATGACTTGTATGATCTATTTAGTATGTGACTTGTATGATCTATTAAGTATGTGACTGGTATGTTCTATTTACTATGTGTCTTGTATGATCTATTAAGTATGTGACTTGTATGATGTATTTAGTATGTGACTTGTATTATCTATTTAGTATGTGACTTGTATGATCTATTTAGTATGTGTCTTGTATGATCTATTTACTATGTGACTGGTATGTTCTATTTACTATGTGACTTGTATGATCTATTTAGTATGTGTCTTGTATTATCTATTTACTATGTGACTTGTATGATCTATTAAGTATGTGTCTTGTATTATCTATTTACTATGTGACTTGTATGATCTATTAATTATGTGTCTTGTATGATCTTTTAGTATGTGACTGGTATGATCTTTTAGTATGTGACTGGTATGATCTATTTAGTATGTGACTTGTATGATCTTTTAAGTATGTGACTTGTATGATCTATTAAGTATGTGACTGGTATGTTCTATTTAGAATGTGACTTGTATGATCTATTAATTATGTTACTTGTATGATCTATTAAGTATGTAACTTGTACATTTTAGTTCTCACCTGACATCACATCTACAGTACCCCACCATAAACACTACGCCCTGGAGGTGACTGAGAATTGCTCACCTGTTGTAGACCACCTCCGTATCAGAAGTTCTTCTGTTGGTAATGATCCCTCATTTCAAGTTATAATGTTAATATGGGTTTTTTACATACTTGATATTTCAAAAGAACCTTCAGCATTTAAATATAGCAACTTCACTTTGGATGTTTCTGGGGGTATGTTTTATTATCTGCGTCCAACACTTTGGTAATTTATATAGAAAAAACTTGTATTGATATCCCTTTCGTTTTAGTGTATGAATCAGAATTTGTATTTTATTAGTTCACGTATACTGTTTGTGTAAATGGGATTAATGGTGTTTTATCATATAGCTCCCTTGTTATACTGTGAAAGAGCCTGTGCACTATTTTGTCATGTTGTGAACAATATAACTCTGTGTGATATTGTTTCTGTTTTGATGACACAATAATGATAGTTGCCCTATGCTCCTATAAATGAAAACATTTAAACTTTTTTCATAACCATATACAAAATGGCAACTTTTTATGCATGTACCATTGTTCTTAACCATGTGTAAATAGAAATGATAACATGTCCTCAACAGTTGGTGCTGCTGTATGTGTGTCAGGATCAGGAGCAGACCCGGTCATCAAACACTGTAAGATCAAGGACTGTGAGAATGTTGGCCTGTATGTCACCGACTATGCGCAGGTAAGAATGCTGTCTAAAATATTCAAGGTTTTTATGTTCCTAATAACTAGCATTACTGTTGACATTTCAGTTAAGTCTGACCTTCATAAAGCAGGTTGTCAGCATCTGTAGCCAAACAATATACTCCTGAACTTACTTGATAATGTTTTCATTATTTTCAGGGGAGCTATGAAGACAATGAGATCAGTGGGAATGCCTTGGCAGGAATTTGGGTAAAAAACCATGCTAATCCCATCATGAGGAGAAACCATATACACCATGGAAGGGATGTGGGTATTTTCACCTTCGACAATGGCCTGGTAAGTGTTATATAGCTCACTTCCATATTAGAGTTTGTCTTTGAATGATAGTGAGGTTGTACAACCAACCTAGGTTCTCTCTTGATGTTTGTTGCTGAAAATTTTATTGACCTAAATCTCACCATTAACCCTTTCACCCCTATGTAATTTTAATGAAGCCTACCATACATTGATCTGGATGAGTCCATTATGATCTACAGTGGTGGAAGAGTTAAAGTCTTAGCTTTATTGATTATAGCAACATTAGACTTTTGATTGTAGTAATTCAGGGTAAGGGTTGACCCAGAACTACAGATCAAGGACTTAATTGATTGAGCTAAAGGAAAGTTCCCTCAGTAACTAGTGACAAGATGGGATGTCCCTGTGATATTATTATCCTTAGATTTATCCTGAGAATGTGAGCTGGGATGAATGATTTCCTATCTACTTCTAACCTGTATTTTATTTTCTGATATTTTACTGAGGAATGTATATCTGTTATAATTGTAGGGTTACTTTGAGGCTAATGATATCCACAACAACAGAATTGCTGGTTTTGAGGTGAAAGCTGGTGCTAACCCCACAGTGGTCCGGTGTGAAATCCACCATGGACAAACCGGTGGAGTGTATGTGCACGAAAATGGGCGTGGCCAGTTCATAGAAAACAAAATCCACTCAAATAACTTTGCTGGAGTGTGGATCACTTCAAACAGTGATCCTACCATCAGGTACGTACAGAAGCTGGTATCAGCTGGGTTGTCAAAAAAATGTTGTTGTATTAGACAAAAATATTAGTTCTATCAGCTACGTTGTCAAAAATGAGTTGTTATCTAGGCAAAAATATTTGGTACATTGACAATTCAATGTCAGCTGTGTTGTCAAAAAAGAGTTGTTGTCTGTGTTATCAGTAATGAGCTGGTGTCCTAGACAAACTTATTAGGTACAAAGACATTCTAATATCAGCTGTGTTGTCAGTAATTGAGACATTGTCAGTTTCAGTACAAAGAAAACCTTATATCTAGATTTGTTATGCTATTATAAACATCATTCTGAATTTTTTATCAATGAACCTTTTAACATCTTCATTTTTCTGGGCAGATTTTGTAAATATAATATTTTTTTCTGATAACAAAATCCCTGACTATTCACTGTGAGAAGAAAATACATATTAGAGTGGGTCCTATGAAAAAATGTCCTGTTTACAACTGTTTGTTTACTGTTTGTAGAAAAAATGAAATCTACAACGGTCATCAAGGGGGCGTGTACATATTTGGAGAAGGAAGAGGTTTAATAGAGCACAATAATATCTACGGTAAGTAAACTATCTACAGTAATTCTGAAATAAGTCAATTCTTTACATAAGGGGCTGAAGCAAACAGATTTTACCTAACTAGACCGGAACTTTGTTTAGTAAATAAAGTTCCTTTAACATGTTGGTAAATATTGCTTTGGATTTGTGTATTTGGTTTACCAGCTAATAAATGGTGTTTGATTGGAGGACTTATTTAAATATAGAAATGGAAATGAGATGACGGTTACATTTCAACCCTTGGTTAGATTCTTGCTAACCACTTCAGGTAGGTTGATTAATTTGTTAATGTTGTTGGCTACTACAGGCAATGCCTTAGCTGGTATCCAGATCAGGACAAACAGTAACCCTATAGTCCGCCACAACAAGATTCATCATGGCCAACACGGGGGTATTTATGTGGTAAGTTGACGTGTGCTTATGGTACACTTACAGATTTGTTCTTAAATCAAAATATGATGCAAAATATGTATCCGATGAAGAAACGATTTAATGTCAAGAAAATCATAGTGCTCGTCTCCCATTATTTCATTTTGTATAAAATTGTTATTTGAAATAGTTATTTGAAGCTGATAACTTGAATACTGTTGCTAAGATTGTCCTATAATAGTAATGGTATAAGTGTTTGATATGTTAACAAAATCTGAAAACCTGATGTGTAACTGCAATCTTTGCTATCAGCATGAAAAGGGCCAGGGTCTTATAGAGGAGAACGAGGTGTACTCCAACACGCTGGCCGGGGTGTGGATCACCACAGGTAGTACGCCTGTACTGAGGAAAAACCGCATCCACAGTGGCAAGCAGGTCAGTAGTCCCACAAAGAAGACTTGCATTATTACTTGTCAGTCAGTAGACATCCAAGGAATACCAGTAGTTTCTTTATATATTGTTTGTGATAGCAGACACTCCGTGAATACCAATATTGTTTATAATCGCAGACACTCGGTGAATACCAATATTGTTTATATTCGCAGACACTCCGTGAATCCTCATATTGTTTATGATAGCAGACACTCAGTGAATACCAATATTGTTTATGATAGCAGACACTCGGTGAATACCAATATTGTTTATGCTCGCAGACACTCCGTGAATCCTCCTATTGTTTATGATAGCAGACACTCAGTGAATACCAATATTGTTTATGATAGCAGACACTCAGTGAATACCAATATTGTTTATGATAGCAGACACTCTGTGAATACCAATATTGTTTATACTCGCAGACACTCAGTGAATACCCATATTGTTTATAATCGCAGACGCTCTGCGAATACCCATATTGTTTATAATCGCAGACACTCCGTGAATCCTCATATTGTTTATGATAGCAGACACTCGGTGAATACCAATATTGTTTATGATAGCAGACACTCAGTGAATACCAATATTATTTATAAAGCTGACACTCAGTGAATACCAATATTGTTTATGATAGCAGACACTCTGTGAATACCAATATTGTTTATACTCGCAGACACTCAGTGAATACCCATATTGTTTATAATCGCAGACGCTCTGCGAATACCCATATTGTTTATAATCGCAGACACTCCGTGAATCCTCATATTGTTTATGATAGCAGACACTCAGTGAATACCAATATTATTTATAAAGCAGACACTCAGTGAATACCAATATTGTTTATGATAGCAGACACTCGGTGAATACCAATATTGTTTATATTCGCAGACACTCCGTGAATCCTCATATTGTTTATGATAGCAGACACTCGGTGAATACCAATATTGTTTATGATAGCAGATACTCAGTGAATCCTCATATTGATAATGATAGCAGATACTCAGTGAATCCTCATATTGTTAATGATGGCAGATACTCAGTGAATACTGAATACCCATATTGTTTTCCTGTAGACACCAAAGGAAAACCAGTGATGAAAAATTTGTCACATACTTTTCATAGTGTAATAGATAGATATAAAGTGGTATGGATAATCATAAAGTTCTATTTGTATAACTAAGAAATTGTGCAAATGATAATGTTTGAATTAATTGTGTAATGACTTCCTTTGGTTGATTCATTACCTATATATTTCTTGCAGGTGGGAGTGTATTTCTATGACAACGGACATGGTGTTTTAGAAGACAATGATATCTTTAACCACTTGTATTCTGGAGTTCAAATAAGGTAGGTCTGAATTGAAATTGATTCTGTGTAAAACTCATTATACAAACCACCTCATTCATTGTCAGGTTGAGAATTATTTTTTAAAGGTGTATTGATATTTGAATTAAAATGGATATATGATTTATTGTCCATATTCAGATTTATTTACTTGAAGGTTAGGCACTACACTATGCTAATAGTACCTCAAACTTAAGCTTGCTTGCTTGCTTGCTGAGTACTATAGAAATGTTTTATAACTGGACTTGTACACTGAACACTGCATGCACAGAAGAAACAAATGTAAGCCCTGGGCCTTGGCAGGCTAGTAGATGTAAGCACTCCTAAAATGATATTCTTCACATTTTCAGGACAGGAAGCAATCCTTTGATTCGCAAAAACAAGATATGGGGAGGACAGAATGGTGGTATTTTAGTGTACAATAGTGGACTGGGTATGATTGAGTGTAATGAAATATTTGACAATGCTATGGCTGGTGTGTGGATTAAAACAGACAGTAACCCGGTGCTTCGCCACAACAAGATCCACGACGGCCGTGATGGGGGTATCTGCATATTCAACGGAGGCAAAGGTAAAGTTTGGGATGAAAATATAATCATAAGGATAATAATTATCAGCTAACCTGCCCGTAAAAGCCTTTATCTCCTGAATGACTGATTGGATTTTAACTAAATTTGATATGAAGCATCCTTGGGACCTGGGGCTCAATGGATTTATGAAATAAGGGTGTGGCCCCCTAGGGGGTTTAGTAAGGGGCCAAAAAAATAAAAATAAAATCTTCTCCATTTCCAGAAATGCTAAAACCAAATACTACTCATAGTTGTAAAAGCCCCCCCCCCCTCTCGTTTGTTCCTGGGGAGGAGAAGTTTAGTATAGTTTATATATGAAATAGACATAATAGACCATATCTTCCAATGTTCTGAACGGAATTTGCTCATTTTTGACAGAAATACTTGTTAGGGGAGGAAGGTCTGCTGGTATAATTTTTGTGACCCTGACCCCCTAGGGAGCTGGGTTTGGGGTGAAAAAGGAGGCGAATTTCAAAAATCTTCTTCTGCAGTTCCAGAAACGCTAATATCAAATACTTCTGATAGTTGTAAAGGCCTTCGAGTGGTTTATATACTTTGTGATTTTCATGTGCCCCAGGTCCCTCGTTTGCCTTTGGAAAGGGGGTAAAGTTTGGTATTGTTTATATAGACAATTCAACAAATGAACAGCCATCACATACTTTTTATCTCCAACCCAACTAATGTGCTAGTAATAGTAACAGCCTCATTTCTTTATGAATTATAAAGTCTCCATAGTAACGCTTCCAAGTTCTTACCCTAGATGTCTGAAGTGGTTACAAATTGGCATTACAGAGCAAATGTAAATATTGTGCCATGATTGCTTAAATAACCTGGTGAGCGATACAGGCCCCCTGGGCCTCTTGTATATTATTTAACAACTACCTTTTGACCGATTTAATTATTCTCTCACCTCCTTCTCAGGAAATGCAGTATTTTCATGTTGCACTACCTGTCTGAACCATTTTTAGGTGATGTTATATCTTATAAACTTTTCTATCATTTCAACAATTACTACTCCAGACAATGAGATGATGAAATATCAGGGTGAATCTTGGGATCCGTGTAACATTTCAGTGGTGTTTTTAAAACAAATTTGAGTCCCTGCTAAAAAGAATAAATCTAAGATTTGAAGTTCAGCTATGCAGTGATTTCTTTTATAAAACCACATTGCTGATGTTTATTGCAAGCCTGCATTTACAACTATAACTGAGAATTGTGATTGCAGTTATAATCTTAAAATTCAAAGAATATAGACAAAATGAAAGTTCCGGGTCAATTTGAAATAATCTCTCTATAGAACAGTTGTTAACTCTGTATATTACATCTGTGTCTTAGGAATTCTTGAGGAAAATGACATCTTCAGGAATGCTCAGGCAGGCGTACTCATCAGCACAAACAGTCATCCAGTATTACGAAGGAATAGAATATTTGACGGCAATGCGGCAGGAGTTGAAATCACCAACAATGCCACAGCAACATTAGAGGGTAACAAAGTCTTCAACAACAAGTTTGGGGGACTGTGTCTCGCAAGCGGGGTCAACCCAAAACAAAAAGGTAGCTATACAATACATTGAAACAAGGTTTGAACAGGATAGAGCTCATTTCCATTAGTTTGGATAATTGCATATTACTTCGAAAGAAGATCACTTCTCAACCATAATATAGATTTGATTTATGAAACATTATTGACATAGAATAGTAAGAGATCTTTATAACCTAATCAGTTGTTTGACCTACTATGATTTATGTACTATTTTTGACCTATTTTGAGCCTGCTGACCTTGTGTGTTTTGTTATAGATAATGTGATCAGTGGTAACCACAACATGGTACAGAGGGCTGTATCTAGAGGCCAGTGTCTATACAAGATCTCCAGTTATACAAGTTTTCCCATGCACGACTTCTACAGGTAAATTTTTCTATACTATATGGCAATCAACAAATTATCAGGACAATAAATGAGTAAAATCAATAAGAAACTTAGTATTACAAGTCAACACAGTAGCATACTGCCATAGAAGTTATGTGAAATAAAGGTGGTCAGCAATTAGAACAATCGAAAGCCATTTTGTGTTCCTTGTTAAACATTTCTTCTCTAGAAATTTTCAATTTTCATGGTTAAACATGCTACTTTTGTCTATTTACAGGTGTCGGACGTGTAATACAACAGAGCGCAATGCTATTTGTGTGAACTGTATAAAATCCTGCCATGCTGGCCATGAGGTTGAGTTTATTCGTCATGATAGGTTTTTCTGTGATTGTGGAGCTGGCACTCTGAACAATCAATGTCAGCTACAAGGAGAGCCGACACAGGACACAGACACATTGTATGATTCTGCTGCACCAATGGAAACACACACGCTCAGAGTCAACTGACCAATGGCCAAACACAAATATCAGCTGACCAAAGGCTTACAGCATTGGCAGTGTCAGTGAAGAGCAAGACTCTTCGGCTTGTCAACCCGGCTGGTACCAGGCTGTTTGTGGTACATGGCCATCTGTTGGGCATTTGTTGTGTCTCCAGCTTTTCCAAAAATGAATGAAGGACAGTGTATTATTCAAAGAATCACACAAGTTGGATTCAGGAAGAGTATGAAATAGGAGACCATATTACTTTGGAAACCCAAATGGTTTACATACATTACACTTGAGTGATGTTGTGATGGCATTTAATGCTGCAGTGCAGATGGTTACATTTAGAAATCTCTATTTAATTATATACATGTTGGAGCACATGTAGATCTGATATATTGTGAGCCTAGAAGGTGAGAGGAAGACATGGATGACGTTGTGTGGGTGTTGAGCGAGCAGAATATATTATATGTAGATTAACACCATATACTGTGCTATGTAATTCTATAGAACCACAAGTTTTACATGTGGTTCAATTCATCGATAGGTTGCTTCATTCCAACTTGTCCATCACTATCAAAAGCATTGGAATAAAATGTAGTAACATGCGATTCTGTGTGGCTAACAAATCAGTACCTAGCTACATAGTAGCATAATCAATGTTTCAGTGAAATGTGAAATTTAAATGTTTTATTGTTTAAATTAATGACAGCCTTTGTGGTGTCTGTTAATTTTATGAAATTAAATAATTACAAAATATCTATATATATATACATAAATATATCATTATTTCTTTTTTTTTGCCAAAATATTGATTTTCATGAAGTAGTTAGTGAAAGTAGCGATATGACTGTTTGGTAAGATACATAGATAGATACTATTGAAATATAGTACTTGCCAAAGCTTATTTTTACGCAATGAAAAAAACGTATACATTTATTTATGGGCCAGAATTTCTGTAAGGATTGGGTGTATGTCTGGGGCCATGGCAGGGCTACAGACCGGGGTTTGTTTTGTGTAGCCAGTGTTATCTCTATTGTTTTGTGTTTTGATAGAAAGGAAGGGAAGGAATTCCTATTACTGTTCTGTTCCCTGTGATCTGAGTATTTGTGTACATGTCTCCCTGAAAGCTGTAATATGTGTAATTGAGATACTTGTTGGAAAACAAGTTTAAGTTTGTGATGGTGACACAAGACTGCCCTTGTTCTATTAAGGTGCTATAGAGACCACCATCAGTATTGAGGTACCAAGCCTTACGCATGTTGTCAATTCCACAAATACGTTTTCTCAATTTCTGTTCAAAATGTTAATGATCTGAACACCAGATCTTCAGCCATTATAGTGTGAAGAGGACATAATCTGGTGTAAGATATGATCTCTGCTTTCCATTGTTGTCCTATTATCAAACCTGTGCGTGACTTGCTGGCATTTTGTTTCCGTCCAGGTGTACACTGCCAAAGGTGGGCGGGGCACATTAGAAGCATGCTGTTGTCAGCACCTTTATTTTGTGTCCATGTAACATTTCAGCATTTAACAGTTTACAACTCGATTGCTTTCGTTTTAGATTTATGTAGTCAAATGTTGTCCCAAGTTTAGCATAGATAGTTCCATTTCCACATCAGCTCATCAACATCATCATAACACTTGTACTTCAGTCTCGCTAGACATAACACCAAACCTGACAACACCAATCTCCAGGCTGGCAATATCATTAGTAACACTGTTACAGGTCGTGATAGAGTAACACTGTTACAGGTCGTGATAGAGTAACACTGCTACAGGTCGTGATAGAGTAACACTGCTACAGGTCGTGATAGAGTACATTTATATACTATTCCAGCATAAACCTGTACAGATGTAATATAGCCATGGATGTACCCACACCGGTATTTCATTGGTCTGCTGTAAATACACTAGTGCAATTTTTGTGTACACTTATCAGTGACACATGCGTGTAAGTGTCAGACAGGTGAGAGGTTTATTTGTGGTATTATATGGGGTACGATTTAGGTAGTGGTACTGTGTAGCATGTCTTTTCTATATTATCACCTTCAAGTGCTATACACAGTTTATAATCTCATTGTTTGCGGTTCACTATTTGGGTACATACGAGGTATATATATACAGTTAGATGATTGGAGCATTGTCATTTAGGTTATTTTTTTATGTAAGAAATGCATTCTTGTATCTGTTGATTTTATTAAATGAGATAGTTTTACAAGAAATTGGTTATGAACCATGTTTACTACTGGTGTAAGTAGTGGTATCAATACAGACTCCCATTTTTTTTTAAATTTGTTATAACTAAAGAAAGCGATGGTTTTAAAGTGACATGCCTCGGTGAAATTGTAACTTATGAGTTCTGTAATGGAAGCTTTGCAGAATTTCAGACAAATGTAAACGCAAATTTGAGCCTCTGCATTGTCTTCTGGAATGAAAACTGCTGGATTCTATATTTTTTCATCATTTTACTCCAAATATACTAAACCATCTTCATCTTTCCCTGGAATTTGAATCACCTGTTTGTTTGGATCTACAATCCATGCCTTTGCAATTTGGTTTTATATCAGTTTTAAGATTGTAAATAAAATACTTAAACTATTCTAACCTTTATTGTGCTTGGTGAGCCTTCCCAAGTAATAAGCTATTGAAATTGCATATGAAACAAATCCTCGATTTGTTTCAATTAAAAAAACACGACCTTTACAGTTAGTATAAAAATGAAGAAAGTTACTTTTGTTTCTTCTAGTTAAAAGTTTTCTCTGTGTTAATCAGTTTTTGGAATTTTCCTGCATCTCGGTGACTTAAAATAAATTTAGGAAAAACTTGAATTGGTTGGATATTTTGTTTGCGATTTTAAAAGCTGACAAATTAAATCAAGGACGATTTTACTATAGATTGTATACATGTGTTTGTCACTTCATGTTGTTGTCACTGGTAGCTTGACTATTGGACTATTGCTAATTATATCTTGTTTGTTTAATCAGAAACAAATTCCTGTAAAAGAGCAGTGTTGTCTGTGATCACTATACTAAGTAGACCCAGCCATGGGTGTACTTAGCTAGCTATACATAGTGGACACAGCCATGGGTGTACTTAGCTAGCTATACATATAGTAGACCCAGCCATAGGTGTACTTAGCTAGCTATACATAGTGGACCCAGCCATGGGTGTACTTAGCTTTCTATACATAGTGGACACAGCCATGGTGTATTTAGCTAGCTATACATAGTGGACACAGCCATGGGGGTACTTAGCTATCTATACATAGTGGACACAGCCATGGTGTACTTACTTAACTATACATAGTGGACCCAGCCATGGTATACTTAGCAAGCTATACAAAGTGGACACAGCCATGGGTGTACTTAGCTAGCTATACATAGTGGACACAGCCATGGGTGTACTTAGCTAGCTATACATAGTGGACACAGCCATGGGTGTACTTAGCTAGCTATACATAGTGGTCACAGCCATGAGTGTACTAAACTAGCTATACAAAGTGGACACAGCCATGGGTGTACTTAGCTATCTATACATAGTGGACACAGCCATGGTGTACTTAGCTAGCTATACATAGTGGACACAGCCATGGTGTACTAAACTAGCTATAAACTGTCTTCCACTGGACAGAAGATCTAGAGAAGCAGTGATCTCTACACCATTACCATTGATATACAGCATTAAGATATTATTCCTTTACCTGTTATCTAAATAAAATTTCACCCAATCTGTATGTTTTGGAATAGAGTGAAATCACTTTTTTTTTTAAAAACAGTCCTTTCTGTTGTATATTTTAAAATGCCTTTTATATCAATGTACACCACTTGCTGTTCTCGTCAAGTATTCCCATCATAGTGTTATTTTTAATACGAAAACAAACAGTTAATAAGCTGACCTTTCAAGGGGAATAATTGTCTGACAATTGTAAAAGGTTTTGTATATGAAATAGTGTGTTGGTGAGATGTTTACATGTTGTGATAGTTATGTTTTTGTTGCCGTGGTTACAGTGAGGAGGGCTGTGCTTTTCTCATCATTGTGCACCACTATATATAGTTACCCTGACAACCTCATTTAAATATGTTTGAAGCATTTTATCATTAGATACATATTTGTTATATGCAATATGTGTTTATTGTGCTGTTGTTCCCATCTGTTAATTGCCATTGTAAGCAGGTTGTCAACATATCTACCTGTTCCCTTTTATTAACATTGATTTATTCCGTTGAATCTTGAACCCCATGTCAGTCAGCCTGACTTGGTTTTTAATCCATCAGATTGACTGACCTCTGACCCCTGTTGATCAGATTGATTTTGATCTTCTTCCATTGGTGAGACTGGTTTTGACCTTGAACTCTTGAGTCAGATTGCCCATAAAACCACTGGTCCTTTAGATGTATCACTTGACAACTGGTCTCTCTAGATGTATCTGTTAACTGTTTGTGGATGGTTTAGTGTTTCAATGTTTTTTTGTTTTGTAATTTTAGTCTTCATTAATTCTTTGATGTATAACCTTTGACCTTCAAACATAAATTAACATCCCAATATGAAAGTAGCCTGGTGGTGCAGACAATCACTTCTATGTTATGGGAAAATATTTCATCAACAGTCGTAGAAAACTGTCCAAAAAGTTTACAAGTGATAATGATGTTTGAAGTAGAAACGCAAAATTAAAAGTGGAGTAAGCCAGGAGTTGCTAAAACTGGAAAATATTTCAATCAGGTTTATTAAATCTGAATGCTATGTTCAGTTAGCCTTTAAGATTAGCTTTAATTAGATTGGATGTGTATAAACCATACTATTAGTTATACCATACTCGTAGGGATGGGGGAAGTCATGTTTAACACCATACCAGTAGTATGAGCGGGTGGCATTAAATTACTTAAATTTGTTCAAAAGTTTTATGTGAAAATATGTGTTTTAATATGATCTTAATTGTATATAGTTAAGTGTTTGGCATGTTGTGCTGTTGTTAAGTTACCCCTGGAAAATTGTCCTTTATTTAAATTTCTGTGATGAGGGAGGGAGGACATTTATGTGATTGTGTTGACCATTTGACCTAGTACCCTATAGTACATCACCTTGTGTTTTCTGTCAGGTTTCCATGTGTTGGAGGTGGGATCCTTCAGCAGACATGTGACATGGCTGTACATTTTGTTAGACCTGTGTGATATGTTGAGTTGTTATCCTCCCTGTATCCTTTTTACCCTGCTGGGTAGCGCCTGGCGTTTATTGGCCAAGTATATTATGTATGTCTGTACCCCGCTGTCGCCCGGCCTGTAGGACCCACTTTGTTAACCCTCTCTGTAGTATGTTGTTATTATCTTGTATATGTTGTACATGTAGCAAATCAATTTCTTTTTTAAATTATCTACAAATTATTAACACAAGTGGTTCATACTTGAAAAGTCAAAATTGCTATGTTTATGATTGGGTGGTTGAGTGAACAAGACAATATGTATGGAGCCCAGGGGCCCTGGAGGGTACCAAGTACCAGCCCAGGACCTTGGGCAGTGGTGTCATAGCTTTTAGTTGATGTCTCCAATCATTGTTTACAATATTTTTTTAATGCAAGCAAAAGTTATTTTAAATGTTGAGATTAAGTGTGACAAACCAATGTATTCAGACTTTCTAACTAAACACCAATTTGAAATCCAGAAATTCCTCTATTTTCAACTGCCTGATGTTAGCAGTATAAATCTTAATGTTGTTCGCCTCATAATGGAATGGCCGTTGTAAAGGAAGCTGGTTCAGAAATGAATTAATTGTTGAAAGAACTATGTCAAGTAAACAACATTACATGGGTGGGATTCAGTGGGGAAGTTGTTTTAAATGTAAAAAAATATATATTTCACCATGATTTTTTTATTGTAAAACCTGTTATCTATCAGTGATGGCTACTGGTAAAAGTGATGATATGGAGCTTTTGTGTTCAAGGTATTCCTGCAAGTACATGTAACTTGGGTATTTTTTAATGGACATTGATATACATGTACACAACAATTGCATATTGTAAACCATATTGATATTTTTTCAGGGTATTCATGATGTTATTATAACGGTGTAGAAGTATTTGATCAATCATTCATACAAGGAATGTTTTAACAGGTTTTGTTTGGGTGTAGATTAATACATCAAATCTACCAGTTATCTTCACTGGTTACCTTGTACATGTTCAGGTATCGGTACCAATTATTTTAAGTTGCTGGTTCAGTATTTATGGGGTGGACTTTGGTTTGTCACACTTGGTTGTTGAATGGTTGAATATGGTGTACATGTTCAGTGTATAAGAACATCTTTTGCGGTACATTACAAAAGTCATCTGTATATCATACATTGTCACCAATTTCAGTGTGAATGTCTTGTTTTATTTTGATACAATTCTATTATATCAAGATATCAATAGTGTTTCTTGTTATTTGTTCATGCAAAGTATATATGTACTAAAGAGAAACAGAAGGCTACATACTACTAACGTCCTAAAATGACCTGTTGATACGACGTTAAACAGTATAAAACCAAACCTACATACTACAAACGTCCTTAAATGACCTGTTGATACGACGTTAAACAGTATAATACCAAACCTACCTACTACAAACATCCTTAAATGACCTGTTGATACGACGTTAAACGGGATAAAACCAAACCTACCTACTACAAACGTCCTACAATGACCTGTTGATACGACGTTAAAAGGGATAAAACCAAACCTACCTACTACAAACGTCCTACAATGACCTGTTGATACGACGTTAAACGGTATAAAACCAAACCTACCTACTACAAACGTCCTACAATGACCTGTTGATACGACGTTAAACGGTATAAAACCAAACCTACCTGCTACAAACGTCCTTAAATGACCTGTTGATACGATGTTAAACAGTATAAAACCAAACCTACATACTACAAACGTCCTTAAATGACCTGTTGATACGATGTTAAACAGTAAAAAACCAAACCTACCTACTACAAACGTCCTTAAATGACCTGTTGATACGATGTTAAACGGTATAAAACCAAACATACCTACTACAAACGTCCTAAAATGACCTGTTGATACGATGTTAAACAGTATAAAACCAAACCAACCTACTACAAACGTCCCTAAATGACCTGTTGATACGATGTTAAACAGTATAAAACCAAACCAACCTACTACAAACGTCCCTAAATGACCTGTTGATACGATGTTAAACAGTATAAAACCAAACACACATACCATAAACGTCCTTAAATGACCTGTTGATACGACGTTAAACGGTATAAAACCTAACATACCTACTACAAACGTCCCTAAATGACCTGTTGATACGATGTTAAACAGTATAAAACCAAACCAACCTACTACAAACGTCCCTAAATGACCTGTTGATACGATGTTAAACAGTATAAAACCAAACACACATACTACAAACGTCCTTAAATGACCTGTTGATACGACGTTAAACAGTATAAAACCTAACCTACCTACTACAACAAGTTACACAGTACCACACGTTCAAAAACACCTTCAGTTCAATACCAACATATGCCCCTGGGGATGGGACAGGATCTTATTTTCTCATTCCGTCTTATTTTCATCTGGCATCATAATCATTCCAACCAAGTTTGAATAATTTCCTGCTAAAAAAGGACAAATTTTATACCAAAAAGTGTTATTTCCCTATATAAACTAAAAGTCAATTTTACCCCCTCCCCAATCGAGAATGGAGGGGGGAGGGGGGTGGTAATAAAATTGAAAAATAGATCAAGCCTCTGATGGAATTTTCATCCATGCACAGAATTTGATAAAATTTCTGAAGAAGAACAATTTTGAAATTTTGGTAATTTTTCCCTTTGGGGCCCACCCTAGCCCCTCGGAGATGGGGCAGGAATCCCAATTTTGCATTGTAATACCCTCTTGCACCAATGATGATTCTGACCAAGTTTAAATAAATTCCTACTGAAAATAGACAAAATTGTTATTTCCCCGTATAAACTATTGTAAACTTTACCCCCTCCCCAAGGGAGAACGGATGGCCTAGGGGTACTGTAATTTACAATTCAAACAGAGCCCCTGATGATCTTTCCACCCATGCAGAAAAAAGATTTTTATAATATTAGTTAATTTTCCCTTTGGGGCCCCACCCTTGCCCCTGGGGTTGGGGCAGGAATCCCAGTTTTACCATTTCATACCATCTTCTTCCAAGGATGATTCTCACCAAGTAAGAACAATTTCTTACTCAAAATTGACAAAACATACCCAAAAGTGTTATTTCCCTGTATAAACTATAGTAAACTTTACCACCAACCAACCCCCCCAAGGGAGAACGAATGGCCAGGGGGTACTGAAATTTACAATTTAAACAAAGGCCCTGATGATCTTTCCATCCATGAAGCGAAATTGACAGCAGTAGTACGGAGTCTGGAGAAGAAGATTTTGGGTAGGAATCCCAATTTTACAATTGTGTAGCCTCATCTACCAAGGATGATTTTAACCAAATTTGAAAAAAATCCATGCACTGGTTCTTGAGAAGAAGTTAAAAATGTAAAAAGGTTTATGCACGATGCACGACGGACGAAAAGCGATCAGAATAGGTCATTTGAGCAAAGTTCAGATGACCTAAAAACACTCATCTCTTTATTTGATTAACTTGAACATGTAACTCCAAAATTTGGTTGAAATCTGCTTAGTAGTTTTGGAGGAAATGTCATTTAGAGCAAACGTTGATAGACAACAGAGAAAGCACCACCACACAAGCTCGCTGTGGGACATTGTACCAGGAAAGCTAACATGCTTACCATGGAAAATGATGACACACACATACAGTAAAACGTATTGATAGCACTGGGAAATTTTCACAACTCGTATGTAAAGGCTAAATGATCTGCTGGAGTTGATGGAGTACATCTGGCATTTACTGCTGAGGAGTAAGTTGGGGATTATCTGCTGGAGTTTAGAGGAGTAGATTGAAGATTATCTATTGGAGTTTGGAGATGTAGAGTGGATATTATCTGCTGAAGTTTGGAATAGGTTGAGCATTATCAATTGGAGGTTTGGAGAAGTAAGTCTACAGGTTTTGTAGAAGTAGGTTAGGGATTATCTACTAGAGTATGGAGAAGTAGGTTGAGGATTATCTGCCAGAGTTTTGAGAAGTAGGCTGAGGATTATCTGCCCGAGTTTTGAGAAGTAAGTTTATAATTATCTACCGGAGTTTGAAGAAGTGAGTTCAGGATTATCTACTGGAGTTTGTAGAAGTAGGTTGAGGATTATCTAGCTACTGGAGTTTGGAGAAGTATAAGAGTATCTACTGGAGTTTGGAGAAGTAGAGTGGATATTATCTACTGGTATTTGGAGAAGTAGAGTGGATATTATCTACTGGAGTTTGGAGAAGAAGGTTGAGGATTATCTACTGGAGTTTGTAGAAGTAGGTTGAGGATTATTTGCCAGAGTTTGGAGAAGTAGGTTGAGGATTATCTAGCTACTGGAGTTTGGAGAAGTATAAGAGTATCTACTGGAGTTTGGAGAAGTAGAGTGGATATTATCTACTGGAGTTTGTAGAAGTAGGTCGAGGACTATCTACTGGGGTTTGTGGAAGTAGGTTGAGGATTATCTACTGGAGTTTGGAGAAGTAAGTTAAGGATTATCTACTGGAGTTTGGAGAAGTAGAGTGGATATTATCTACTGGAGTTTGGAGAAGTAGAGTGGATATTATCTACTGGAGTTTGGAGAAGTAGAGTAGATATTATCTACTGAAGTTTGGAAAAGTAGAGTGGATATTATCTACTGGAGTTTGGAGAAGTAGGTTGAGGACTATCTATTGGCATTTGGAGAAGTAGTTTGAGGACTATCTTTTGGAGTTTGGAGAGGTAAGTTAAGGATTATTTATTTGAGTTTGCAGAAGGTTGATGATTTCTTGAATTTGCCAGAGTTTGAAGAATAAGGTTCAGCATTATCTTCAAGATCTTAAAGGATTAGGTTATGCATAATCTGCTAGAGTGCAGAGGAGCAGGTTGAGGATTATCTGCCGATATTTGGAAGAAAAGTCTAGGCATTATCTGCTGGAGTTTGAAGGAGTGAGTTGCGCATTATTTGCTGGAGTTTCAGGGATAAGGGCGGGGATTATCTGCTGGAGCTATGAGAGGAATATTGGATTTTATGACTTGGATTTCAGAGGGGTAAGTTATAAACTTGGGGTTGACAAGTCCTCAAAACAGGATAATAATGAACCAACACCATCATTGGCAAACCACTTAGTAAATTTTTTGTAAAGAAATCAACATTATGAGGTTAATTTGCTCAACAGTGTCACCAAAATAGGATCGCCTACACAAAGATTCTAAGTGTTGAGTTGGCGATCAATGCCCTTTGCACCAAATGCTGTGAAGTGTGGGGGTCTGTTTCCGCAAAATTTGCTAAATACAACAAAAAAGAGCTGAGGCAGTTTACAGAAATATGTTTATTTTTGTTAATATTTTATAAAATATCTTCACAGTTTATGGAACATATTCACTAAACAAACCTTGAAAGTTGAAGTTGTGCTACAATTTGGAACTTCCTGTATCATCACTTGACATTTTGTGTGTACACAATCAAAACACATGCAAAAGAGGTGTGATGATCACACTTTTAAATCTATAACAGACAAGATATATAACAAAATCATATATATGTTTAAACCAGCTGAGACACCTAGCTAAGATGTCAACTGGATTGTATACAATAGACAAGCTTGCTCACAGGAAACCCGACAGAAATATCAATTATCACTCAAGTGCTGTCAACCATGAAAAGCACATTTATGCCTATCAGACCTGTGACAACGTATTCATATGCACAGTTGGAAATAGATTTTTTTTGTATAGTCAGGGACGTTTTTTTAGTGTCGCAGTACAAACTGCAGTTATGTACGTGTCAACGAATTCGTATGAAATTCAAGTTTAAGAAATGCAAGCAAGTTCTACTTCCAACATAAAACAACAGATTAGAGACGCAAACATAGATAAACCTTGTATTCAAAAGTCAAGCTAAGGACAAACTTATGTTTCGTGAGACTTCATATTTCTGGGTTTTTTTAACAAAATTGTAACATAGACCGGGATCTTTTTCTCACAAAACCAATAATACAATGTAGTCATTACAGCTGATTCTGTCATGAACAGCAGACAAAATACAACCTCATTTCAAACACAGCATACAGCTATAGGCTCAATATAATTGTCAGTAGCTAATAGTGAGCAGTGCTACATAGCATCATCATCAGGGCTGTGTGTCAGGGATACATGTTAATTAAGTCTCCTCTCGTCATTTTTCTACATGTTGAACATCATCAGTACACAGGCCACAAAAGTACGTCTTTGCCAACTATTCTTAACTCAAAACAAAAAGGTCTGTTTTCATACTATTGTAGGTACATGTGAATCACACAATTCCTGCACACTGCACAGTTTCGCTAAATGTGTGCATTAAAATCATACACAAGTATTTAAGACAGTAGCAAAGAACTAAAAAAAAATCTATTTTTTAACAAAAATGATCAAATAGTAATTTCAGTCAAACAAAATAACACACCACCTACAAATAAATAAACTAAATAAACATTTAACAAAGGGATTAGTACAATGAAGAAGGTCATGCTGACAACCTTCCCCAGCTTTGCCTACAGTGTACCTGTAACAGAAAGGGTCAGAGCACAACAAAAATACACACAAAATGTCTAGCTTATCCCAAACCACTGGTTACTTCAATAAATACAAGAATCTGGGGTAACAAATGACCTGTTGCACTATTTACTGCAGAGGTTAAGCATAACTACCTGGCAATGTTCTGATAACAACTAGTCGGTTAAGCTTCTTCCTGATAAATACTATTTATTATCTTATTTGAGCTGATTTCAAACAATAACCATTAATTTACAACCCCATTTAATCATAAAAATTTGTGAACCTGGTATTAAACCAATACCACGCTTGAATTAAAATGTTGCAAAGTAAAACATGTCCCCCACCACAACACACTGAGACACCTGTCAGGGCTGATTAATAAAGAAAACTGTTCAAACATTTAAAAGTCTGTGCTCAAGTTAAGGATGACTCAAAATTTGACCCCTAACCCTGACCTTGTTTTAGGACTATGGCTTTCAGTATGGTTAAATCTCCAACTATTACATTTCATAAACCAATACTTTGTTTATTCACAATGTTATACGGCAAGCATGAGACGACTCAGCATTAGGTCCCTTACTATGACCTTGACATATTGGGAACTAACACAGAAGGAATATGCATCAAACTAATAAGACATTACATCAGTGAGTTTTCACAAAAATTAAGACAAAAGTGTTCAGAATTAATGACCTAGGAGCACTGGACAGATGAACAAGGTGAAAATCAGAATTAATGACCTAGGAGCACTGGACAGATAAACACGGTGAAAATCATAAGTCCACAACTGCACCAATAGAGGACTTACCTAACACCACAGCAACTAAAGAAGAGTTCTATTTTCCTCAAAGTTATTAGTTATTTTGGAACCTTTTGTGTCTTCAAAAGTAACTACACGTCATGACATTATAACAATGCACAGTTTGGATGAATGTTCACAGTTCCCTGCTATACCTAGGTCAAATTTCTAAAAGTCCACAACAATGTCAACAAACAGTAAATCAGAAGCTTCAACAGACTGATTGAGATTCCGTTCATAACTACAGGCCAGTGATAGTGGGACACTTGTCGACTGGTCTTGGTGGGGTGTGCCCAGGGTTTTTTAGGACTTTAGACGCCTCACATTGATAATTCCACACCATTTAAGTAAAATATAATACCTATTATAATCTACAACAGTCCTCGATAACATACTGTATCACATAAAACCATAAAATAATGTCAAACAGAACCTTTTCAAAATACAGCAGAAAACTTGTAGATTTTAATGATAACTTTGTGAACAGAGTTCCTTGGAACCTATGTAGTGTTTGTCTTGTAGCATCTTACATCGATAATAGTTTCTTAAACCTTGTAGTAGCAGGTATTGCAAAAAAAAGAGGGTTATATATTAAATCTTTGGCTATAACAAGGTACATAAAAGCTATGGCTTGGAATACATGGTATAAGAGTAACATAACGGGTATACTAGACAATCAATTTCTCAACCCTAATATGTCTGCACAGTGAAGATGACCATATTACATTTGTATTACAAGATTACTAATTTGCATGAAAAGAACTACATTATGGCGATATGTTAATGGTCTGTAAATACATTACACAAGATTCCACAGTGTGGTGTACATCACCTCGGGATTCAACACCAGTTACTAGCCTTAGAACTAAGCCAAAAGTGTCTAATGCTTATTGTCAGTGTATCAGACCTGCTCAATATTGAAACTAGCGTGCACATACACACACTTTCTCTCTCGCACTCACTTACTCATCCACTCACACGCATTCTCATACACTGCATAGATATATCTTCACCCTCTCTAGTGCATACTATCTATATAAACACTTTGTTCTTTTAATCTAACAGTGCATCAAAATAGCGCATCAAAGGGGGTAAAAAAAAATGCTATACAGGGGATCTGTGGAGCACTCCGCTGTACATTATATACACTGTTTAATCACAGATATCTCATTGCATTTACAGGGTGGTAAATTCGTTCTGTCCTTTTTTAACTTTTTTGTTTGTATTCACATCATAAAAATAAGAGCTGACAAAACCACTTGAGATGCTCCATAAAACTTAAGCTATGTACAATGTATAATGTTTACACAGAGGCTACTCCAGTACTGGATGTTGTCTACCTGGCAGTTAGTCTATCATACACAATGATACCAGTGGTCAAGTAGAGCTGATCACCCTTTAAGATGAAACCTCCACACAGGATCTGCTGGCTAAGGCAGATGTTGATAATGTCAATGTTTGATCTTGTTCACAACAAAAGGTTACATCTTAAAGCGAGACAGCTTTAATCAGCAGGTGCCCCACCCTTTCTTCGTCTACGATCATTTCTTCTTTGGTGGCTGTGGCCCTCTAGGGGGAGTCACCGGGCGACCAGAGTTCAAACCTCCATACTGGTACTTGGCTTTCTTTTCGGATGGCTTTAAAATCTGAGAAAAAAATAGAGCATTTTCTTTTGTAGAACAGCATGATTTCTTCAAAGAAAACATCATACAGATCAGATACAGACCACTGTATTAAGAAACAAACATTGAGATCTAAATAGAATTAAATAGGAGTGGATTGCACTCAAGACAATTGGTGCTATTTGTACATTTTCATAAAAGATGCATATTTAATTGTAAAGATGATTTAAGATCCATCATTATTCCATTCAGTTATCTAGAGTATTGTAGCAGGGTATTTTTGATAATTCATACTATACTTCACATCAGTTTGTGCGGTTCCTGTGGATTAAAGCATCTGGGTTTAAAATTTCAACTTACAGTACTTCATATTACTTTATTGGGCAGTCAAACATGATATAATCCAAACCACTTACCTGGAAGGAGCACATCAATGTCTCGTCCACAGACATCATGCCTCCTGCATTGTCAAACTCTCCACAGTAGTTTGGTGCTGAAAATAGGGTCACCAACTGTCTTTTGGCAAAAAACTCATACCCATCTTCCACAACCTGCAAAAAAAATTGTGTGATAGTTTTATATCAATTTACTCCTCTCTGGTTAAAATTTGTCAAGTCTTTTGTCAAAAAGGTATTAGTCAGGAAAGTATTTTTTACATCTTTAACAGTGATCCTTTAAGTCAAGGAAATATAAATTACTGTTAGATATATCACACACATTCCATGTATTGTGACCAGGAGGTCTGTCACACCTGTTCCATGTATTGTGACCAGGTGATCTGTCACATCTGTTCCATGTATTGTGACCAGGTGATCTGTCACACCTGTTCCATGTATTGTGACCAGGTGATCTGTCACATCTGTTCCATGTATTGTGACCAGGTTATATGTCACACCTGTTCCATGTATTATGACCAGGTGATCTGTCACACCTGTTCCATGTATTGTGACCAGGTGATCTGTCACATCTGTTCCATGTATTGTGACCAGGTGATCTGTCACACCTGTTCCATGTATTGTGACCAGGTGATCTGTCACACCTGTTCCATGTATTGTGACCAGGTGATCTGTCACACCTGTTCCATGTATTGTGACCAGGTGATCTGTCACACCTGTTCCATGTATTGTGACCGGCTGATCTGTCAAACCTGTTCCATGTATTGTGACCAGGTGATCTGTCACACCTGTTTTATGTTTTGTGACTAGGTGATCGGTCACATCTGTTACATGTATTGGGACCAGGTGATCTGTCACACCTGTTTAATGTTTTTTGACCAGTTGAAGAGACAAATGACATAAGCTTTGTTAATAAAACCTGTATGAATGACCTTGACCTTCAGCAAATTTTTAGATCTAGAAATCATTACGCAGACAGATGGACACGAGTATGTTGTGAAGCTTTGAAGTCTTAGGCTCACTGAATACAGGGCTAAAGTCAACACAAATTTTGAAGAAAGGAAAAGGGTACTCACTTGATGTGCACGACAGATCAAATCCAGGTCATGGCGGTTAAGGAACTTGCTAACAACATCAGCTCCGAACGTAAAGGACACACCACGATCATTCTCTCCCCAGCCCTGGACGTCTTTGTCGGGGTCTGACCATAACAGGTCACAGAGCAGACCTACATAATTCAGCAATGTGTATTAATATTTGATTGAAATTAATATGTCAAATACAGGCAAATTACAAAACTATCATAATGTAAAGATAAAAGAAAAGGACCAGGTTTGGGTAGATAAAATTGAGGTCTGCAGGAAGTCTTTATAACAGAAAATTACCTGTGTCAGGAACATCAGTTGGACGCATGATTCTCCGGATCTGTTCCATAGACTGGAGATCTGGTGATAGCCCTGTAACATACAAACACTTGAGCATTAAAATATGTACTACACCTTATCTCAGCTCGGGTAATGTTTCTTTCAATCTGCTGGTTTACAAGTTACCACCTTGATGAACTATTACCAGCCAAAAAAGGAGAGCCTTTAATTGGTTGTAAAAGAAGGAAACCTACAGTACAGTTACAAGCAACAAGTTTATTTGTGTTACAATATTGAGGTCACTTCGTTTGAGTGATCAGTGCCATAATATTATAAACTGATTAGGCAATCGATCATCGATCCGATTACTATTTCAATTTACAAACTGAACATTGATTACGATTTTAAACTAATTGCCAATCACTACTTGATGTTATTTTATGTATAAGGAATATTTAGACATACCACCATGACAACAGAAGATCTTTTCATCAATAATGGCTGCTATCGGTAAACAGTTGAAACAATCAGTAAATGTCTTCCACAGCTTCACATTAAATCTTCTTTTACCTGAAACATGTAATAGCCAAAATCTTATTTTTTTTCGATACAAAATAAAGATAAATGTATATATATATCCGCCTGAAGAAGCCCTAGAATGCAGAAAGGCCTAGCGGACGATCTGAAAGATTTATGTTTTTATTCTTTATTTTCCTTCGCAAGGACTTATTTATTTATTATCTACTATATATAATGTATATATATCTTGCAAAGTACATACTAACAAAGTAACATGAAAACAATACATCAATTTCCCATAAACTATTTCTCTCAATTTGTAGGACTTTGTTCCTTTATCAGTTTTGGTACATTTACTTTGAGGATAAATAACGTATCAACATTAAAACACTTACATTCATCATAAAATCCATATATTCTGTTGATACTTGCACATTCATGGTTTCCACGTAAAAGGAAGAAATTCTCTGGGTATTTAATTTTGTAAGCAAGAAGTAAGCAAATCGTTTCCAAGGACTGTTTTCCTCTGTCTACATAATCGCCTAGAAACAGATAGTTGGATTCTGGTGGGAAGCCTCCATACTCAAACAATCGTAGTAGGTCTGTGTACTGTCCGTGGATATCACCTGTAAAGGAAAAGGAATGTTCCAATTCTGAGTACAAATCAGTGTGTGTTTAAAATGATGACGGTCAAATCGTAGGGAATAAGTCCTTGAACAACAGTCGTCTATCTTGTGTAGAAGAAACGAAGCTACGAAATATATGAAAACGATGAAAAAGTAAATCGTTAAATGGATAAGAAAACACGTCTGTCTGAACCGAAAACTCTCTAAGCACTGAACCACGTGACCTCTACGTCATCTCAAGGGGTCCCTCAGTAGGTTGATTTTACAGAATGGGATATCTTGGCTGTGATACTATGAACTAGAAAACCTCTGTAAGACAATGCCCCCTTACCCCTGAAGTTAATAAACTGATGACAATGAATCTGATAACAAAACAGCAATATAGATATATAGTTGACCTATATAAAGTGATACTGGTGCAGATATTGGGACCCTGAAATATAACTTGTCCGAGGCATTATCATGCTTGACCTTTACAATACATATTATTTGATGAAAAATTATTCAGAAATTAACTCATTTGAGCGGTGACAATGAATCATGAAGGGATCGGAAGGACATGGGTAACGCTTTATGTCTAACCCCCTCTGTTTTACTGGGAGGGGGCATAAACATCACTTAAAACCCCCTCTGTTTTACTGGGAGGGGGCACAAGCATCACTCAAAAATACACACCACATATTTTCAATGGTGCCTCCAGCTCTAGTAAGATAGGCTGACTGAGGAAGATCTCTCGTGACTTCAAGCACAATCCTCTCACTTCCGCCTCTGTCATCTGAACAGTCTTTCCTGGTCTGCATCCTCGAACTGCATAAGAAATATACATCAAAGGACTTTTTAGACTTAATTGCTTGCATATATCAGGAATTATTATGAAAATACCAAAAGAGTATCTTGAATGAATTTCCATTCAGTGTTGTTGTGGGTTTTTTAAATAAGCCTCCATGAGATTCTATTTGATATATACTCAACCAAAGAGGTTCAATTGTGATAGTCAATTTCAGTTTTTAAACTAACAACTCTAATTAATCATGATTTTCTGTTATTTCAGATTATGGTTCGACTATAGCATGACTACTTTCAGGAGGTTATTAAGATTTGGAGTAGACATATGATAGCAGATTAAAAAAAGAATTTTACCCAATACCAGATACTGAATAAAACATTTCTGGAAAAATATATGAATATATAAACCACTCTCTATCTATTTCAAGATATATAAATCATTTGAGAAATTCTGATTATCAATCAATGACAATCATGAATTTGAAGGGATCCCGAACACAGTAGGCCTACATCAGTTTGACAGCACTGAACGGATGCGTTTTCCAAAAATAGATATGATGAGCTGCAACTGTAAACAAACCTTTGAGCTAGGTCTGATGAAATATGTATGGCATTTCTTGAATAGTTATACATTTATAAATGATATCGTAAATGAACGAACAGTTTATCTTTACAAAATAACCCACTGGATCATAGTGTTGTCAACAACAAAATGCATTTCGAGGCGGGACGAAAGAAACAGGAAGAAAAAGTGCCCAAGTGTATAAAACATAGAGTATTATCATAATATACATTTTTGCTACGTAAGCTGCAGTGGAACAGTTCTTTGAAGCATACGAAATTATATGTTAATCGTCGTATGTTCTCCTGAACGAGAAACTACCTTCCAAAAGGCGCGATATCAAGCTATCGACATTCAGCTCGGTCTCCGCCATCTTGATTATTTCTCGTGACGTCATCAATCTTACTCAACCATGATGACCTCGAAAGATATTTTCGGGGGCTTCTCGTCATGTACATATTTAGAAAGTAACAATTAAACAGATATCACGCTTTATAATAAAATGAAATTCACATTGGTAATAGTATTTAATCACTCTATTCCAACTTTCACTGTTTTGGTATATTGCAGAATAGACTACGTATACATTGATGCGGCTGGAACGGTTTACGTAGCACAATGCCTTATACGTATATCGGGCCACAGGTCTGACCCTTTTTTATCGAACAGGGCCGTCTAAGAACGAAATGGAGCTCGTTATATCTTCAACACGCACAGAATCTTGTTCTTTAAACCGAATGAAAAATGTGTAATACGACCATTTATTTTAATCAAATGGCAAATGATTTTTTAGTAACATACCAAACTGTAACTAAAAATATTAACCGCATTGATAAACTTCAAACACTTCCATCCATTCTGCCATGTACATTAAGTTAATGGTGCTGATGTGATTGTTTCTTGTGCAACACGGCGTCTAATTATGGAACATAAATTGATGTTATTAGTACACTGGTATTACTTTGATCAAACATAGATATAGATCTAGGTTCTATCCCCGTAAAGTTAATTAAAGAATTACGTTGATAAAGAGCGGGGTCGGGTACTACTCTAAACAATAATGAGTGGCTTATATATAAAAAATGAAGTTGAGACTCTCAAAAATAATAGTCAAAATGGTGGCCACAAAATAATTGATAGTGCAAAAGACAACGGTCGTTTTCTGAAGCGGAACGTGGAAGTTGTAAGGAGTAATTTAGTCAACCATCACCCTTAAAATCACTCAGATACCAAAAATATGACTCATGACGAAACTAGTATAGCGGGGTTCGAGTCGTTCTACACGTCTCTGGTATAATAATCCACAATCCGTACAGATTTTAACTCATTATTAACATAATTGTTGGTAAGAATGTGAATAAATTGTGATATTAAACAAAAAGTGATGACCATGCTAAAATAACCATGCATAGACAAAATCGATTTATGTAAACGCCGTAAACGTCTCTGGATAAGATAATGGATTCGCATTCCTACCTGTTAGTAGTTACTTGTTTAAGTGCACGTTGCATGGCGCGTAACTTTCGCATATTTACACATTTAGCTTAAACCAATTAAAGCAGTATCTGAACGTGTAAAATACGAACGCATTTTTTGTTCTTAAACGCAATAGTTTATTTCGTGGTTTTTTTTACATGAATGGCTTTTCGTAGTGTGTGAACAATTCCAACAATTTAACTGTATATTGATAGAACACGTGGTCCACCCTATCGTTGGTTCCGATTTAAACGATATGACATTTGTCCATCCTTACCACATGTATATAAATGGAAACTTTCTGCAATGTTTAATTCCCGATGTATGATTAAAGTTTCAAAATACGATTTCCAATTCAGTTTCTCTAGTCTTCATATACCGATATTTCCATTTCATTCCATTGTACTATATATGTGACCATTGTAATGTATATCCTATTCTGATATATATCATTAAAATATACCCGACTATTTGTTATCCACGGGGCTATGAACGCAATTTGTTCGATGTCAAGTTTACACTTCTCCACACGCCTCGCATTATACCATATATATGTTACCATCGTAAAAAAGTATTTTGATAACGTTAGGCTGTTCCAGGAATATCGTTTACGCTGACGATACAGAAACTTTAATACCGCCAATATTTGGATTAGTTGATCACCAATAAGTAAACATTCAGAATAATAATTCCAGCGTGAACGCAACTCAGTGGACTCCATACGAAAACAAAGACAGATCACAATCTCTTTCCTTGATAGGAGCGTTAAATTTGAATCGAAATCTAATCTTTTAATTTTCTTGAACCGTTGTCCGAAAAAAAGAAGTGTGCACTGTTTTACTGGTTGATGGTTGGTTCTTCAACCGCCAACAAAAAGTAAAAGTAGGAGACACAAACATGTTTCACCAGTATATATAACAACACGCTGTAATGGTTGTAACAGATGTTATGTTAGTTATTGGGATGATAACCAGATGGACTTGGGTAATTCACACTTAGATGATGTAACATAAGCAGATATTGATCTGGTAAACAAAAACAGATCGAGACTCGCAAAACACGACCAGGATGGCCGTTATCCGTAATGCGCTATCCACGTATAGCTACATATTGATGTATTGTCGGTAACCGATGCATTGTCAGGGATGTTCTTTGGTGTCGTAAAGACGGCATGATCTGGCTTCGGGATCATGAACCGGACCTAAGTCTAAGTCTTGCCTTTATTTCCAGTTCTTAGGCTTAAGTCTGTTCTATGATCATCTTATGCTCTTTTCTTCTTGGTTTGGTTGGTTTGCCTGGTAACTTTTTTGTTGTTGCATTCCCTATAAGATAAGTCATTTATCAAAGGTTATAACATGTTGTTTTCAAGCTGTTCCCGCCATAGGTTACCGTTTCTACTCAGGTCTACGTAGAGGAGGCTGTTTCTACTCAAGCCGATTCCAATTTTACACAGATGAGACTGGTTCTGCTCCAGTTCTGTGTAAATGAGACTGTTTCTGCTCCAGTTCTGTGTAGATGAGACTGTTTCTGCTCCAGTTCTGTGTAGATGAGACTGTTTCTGCTCCAGTTCTGTGTAGATGAGACTGTTTCTGCTCCAGTTCTGTGTAGATGAGACTGTTTCTGCTCCAGTTCTGTGTAGATGAGACTGTTTCTGCTCCAGTTCTGTGTAGATGAGACTGTTTCTGCTCCAGTTCTGTGTAGATGAGACTGTTTATGCTCCAATTTTGTGCAGACGAGGCTGTCAGGTTGATGAAGTCGATCTGAATGCAAAACGGACCCTACAAATTTAAAACGAAGCGCACTTCATGACGTTCATCGTTTCGAGTCGGTATTCCCATCTGTTGTAACAACCAAGGAATATGAGGGGAAATATGGCCTTACTGGCAAACTAACTTTTTCAGTGATGCGGTAATAACCCTGTCGAGCGTCGTCAGTGGTTGGACAAGTGCCCGCCCGCACGTTACATTTGGTGGCAGTGGTGGGATTATGTGATGGGCACTGTGTACGGCGATTTCCCGGTGGTTTGAGAAGGTGCATTGCTACACACAGAAATGACCCATGGGTTTTCCTAGGTCAAGTCTTAGGATGGGACTTCTCGGAAAAGGTGAATAGCGTTACAGTCAAGGAATATGAGGGGGAAATACTGCCTTACTGGCAAGCTAGTTTTTCCAGCGAGATTGGATAACCCTGGAACGCGATCACAAGTTCAGCAACGTCGAGCGTGGTTAGTGGCTGGATGATGTTACACTGTTATATGTATGATAGTAGTGCAATGCTTTTATTGGAGTACATATCAATGTTTAGTGCTTTAGTTGTACTTTCTATATCACATTTAACAGTTTCCATTTGTATGACTTCTTATGTAAGGATTTACTTCTCTGTGGGAATAATTACACCAGCTCCACAAGAAAACGAGTTTCTATTACTGCGTTCGACTGAAATCTCTGATATCAAGGGAGTCTTATTAAGCTTTAAATCCCGACATTTACCTCAGTATGATAGTAATAGTCTCAAAACAAAACACTATAACAAAAGTGATTACTTTGATTTCACGGTATATTGTCTTTCCTCAATAGTGACATATCAGTCTTCCATGTCTATACAGATTTTATGCTATAGTGGTTAGTTAATCTAGAGCCTACCTATAAGGAATTTCCAAGTCCAAGTTGTCTAAAAAGCTTCATTGACTTCAATCTGTGTAAGAGAAAAATTACGGTCGTATCACGCCTATGTGGTTGTTGGACGTCTGTATCCGTCCAATTAAATACAAGTGACAACGAAACAACAACGCACTCTCTATGAGCATACTTTATATCTCGTAAAGAAAATGAGATCATGATGGCGAAACTTGTCCATACACTTCATCGACATGTATCTATGGAAACCCTGTTGTAAATTTGTCTGTCAGCAGTCGACATTTATCACAGATTTCGTGATATTCAGAGCTATCTCTTGAATACCGAATCAACTGTGACATGTAAACATTCAGAAACATCTAAGTAAGACACAGTAGGTGAAATTTACCTGACAAGTGTCGTCATGCAATGAAGCATAATACGCCTATTTTTCCCGAACACCAGGTCTTGTTCTCCTTGTACTCTTTAAGGGTATCTTTTATCTTAATATTGATAATTTTTGCCCTAGTTATCGATTTTTAATTACATTTTCGTTCTTGTTTTCACACCAGTATTCTCTTGTACTTTTAGATCCCTGTTGACCTACATTTTCCGGTTTCTTATATCGTTTCCTCAATCTGTCAGAATCTATAATGCTGGGTGTAATATTTATGACGTAAGTCATGTAACACATACTCTTCTGGAGCACCTGTTAGGCATTCCATTTTTTTGGGGGGTTCCTTTTTTATATAATAATTTGTGAATTAATACGTAACATTTGTTTGGTAGTAACCTCCACATTTCTAACTGTACTGCACAATGTTATATTCAAAGGAACAATGTTTCCCCAAAAGGAAACAAAGCTAACCATAGTTGCAATGTTATCCTCAAAGCCACAATTTTATTCTCAAAGGACCAATGCTATCCTCAAAGGTACGATTTTATCCTCAAAGGTACGATTTTATTCTCAAAGGTACAATGTTATTCTCAAAGGTACAATGTTATCCTCAAAGGTACAATGTTATCCTCAAAGGTGCGATTTTATCCTCAAAGGTACAATGTTATTCTCAAAGGTGCAATGTTATCCTCAAAGGTACGATTTTATCCTCAAAGGTTCAATTTTATTCTCAAAGGTACAATTTTATCCTCAAAGCCACAATTTTATTCTCAAAGGTACAATGTTATTCTCAAAGGTACGATTTTATCCTCAAAGGTCCAACGTTGTTATTCTCAAAGGTACAATGTTATTCTCAAAGGTACGATTTTATCCTCAAAGGTACAATTTTATTCTCAAATGTACAATGTTATTCT